TGGATGGATGGATGGATGGATGGATGGATGGATGGATGGATGGATGGTGGGATGGATGGATGGTGGGATGGATGGTGGGATGGATGGTGGGATGGTTGGATGGATGAACAGATAGAGAGATAGACAGACAGACAGACAGATAAAAATGAATTATAAGTGCTTTAAGTGTGTTGCTGTTGGGTTTTGTTTGTTTGCTCTTCCCAGTAACCTAAAAAGGAGGACATAAAACCTGCTGTTATTTGACTCTTAGTACAGGCCACACTTGGCTGCAGTGATGGTAGAATACCCAATTTGAATTCATTTCTACTATCATGACCTCGGTACCAATGGAACATTATGTCAATGTAGCTTTTTGAAATTAAGAGGCTTTTTATATTAACCATTTTCTCTGCAGCCAGGATTGATATTGCATTTTAACCGTGTTTGGGCAACATGAAGGGATTCACATTTTCAATGATGTTCACTTTCTGATTGCTGTAGGAGTAAGCTTGCCATTTATTAACGTATTTGTCTACATCTAAATCCTTGCTAATGCACTGAGGAATGTTCCAGTACAGCCTTTTATTACAAAGGCTTTCAAGCTTGATCCATCAAACTAATTCTCACTAATAAGTTGCACCACTGGAACGTCAATTAGATTTACATTGAACATTATGGTCTGAATTACAGTGAAAAGTCAAAGTCTACCTAATGAGTGGTGAGATAACATGCACGTATATAAAATAAGATGTGCTTATATGTGTATATATGCATAAAAACCATGCAGTGAAGGAGCATACAGCCACCATGGGGCTTCAGATTTATGTGTGCTGGTCCTGCCTTTCTCTCTGACACTGTGCATTGAATCCCCCACCACCAGAATATGACTGTTCACATGACCATACCAATGGGTATGGCTACTCAAAGGTATGAAGAGTGTGATGGCCTTTATTTGGAATATTTCTGTGCTTAACATTTAACACAGAATCATAGAATGGCCTGGGTTGTGAAGGACCACAATGCTCATCCAGTTCCAACCCCTGCTGTGTGCAGGGTCACCAACCAGCAGCCCAGGCTGCCCAGAGCCACATCCAGCCTGGCCTTGAATGCCTGCAGGGATGGGGCATCCACAGCCTCCTTGAGCTTGCTGATCTGGGGCTGTATGAAGACTGTAGGTTGAGTTTCTCAACTCTACTCTGAAATTCTACATTTTTTTCTGTTCTTTTCCAGAAGTCCTGAGCAAATTTGCTCTGGTGTCAGCAATGTAATGGGGAAAAACAGAGGGCACCTTGCTGGGTGAGCTTTCACACAAGTTCTTACAACACTTTTCTCTTGACATGCAGACAGTGAGAAAGTGGTTCATTAGGCCTGAGTGATGCAAAAGGGGAAATCCATTGGGGTGACTGTAAAGCAGGCTGGATGAATTATATTACTCTCCTAGAACTGAAGAATAAGTAAAACACCCTTTTCAGCTGCATTTTGGCTACTAGCTTGTTTTTCAATCTTTTAACTTAAGGCTTATATACACGACTTTCTTCAAGGCCTGTACTCCTTGCATACAGTTAAATAACAGCACAGTACAGACTACAGAGAGACAGAGCCAATGGAAGCCATTAAACAATACCTTAGAAAACCATTTTTAAATCAATAACTGCCTGCATTACTCAATAAACTCCTGAGGAAGCTAATGCTATTCTTGACAAAGGATGACTGTCCAGTGCATTGACAGATAGTGTTATTTATTATTTGACCAGGTTGAATAGGAAATTCATTCGTTGAGAAGTAAGGCAAATTTTCCATTAGTACTTGAGCTGTCATTATTAATTAGGTGTTATATGCAGTACTACTTAGAGGCACTAAAGAAGATGCACCAGAACGAGGAACTGCTAGTCCCAAAAATCAAACACAGAAATCAAACAGAAAATACTACTTATTTCTACTTTCTATATGAGAAGATAAAATAGAAAAAACTAAACTAAACTAAACTAAAATGAATTCAAAGGACTCAGTAAGAGCTACACATAGTAGCAAAGACCTGGTACTTTCATGATAATTTCTTGCGTAGGTATCAGACCTTTTTCCATGTTTTGTATTTGCTAGGCCTTAGAAAGAGCAGATACCTTCTCCCTATCCTCCAATGAAGATGAGAAATGTAACACAAGGAATTGTTGCTTCTCTTTTGCAGGGAACAGGGCTGGCAAAGTGAAAGCCAAGAAGCAGGCTGTGTACAATGAGCCTCCGTGCTCTGTGCAGCCTTTTAGATCAGCTCCTACATGCCAACTTTGTGCTGGCTGCTTTTGGTGTCAGCTGGCATGGCAACTGCTTTATCTCCCATAGATTTGTTTATTTGAGCACAACAACTCTCATTTAACCCTTTTGTTCCAGCTTTTGCCCATTACTAGCTCAAGAAGGGGAATGAAAGGCTTAACAAACCATTCTGTCCTAAAATATTTTGCCCATACTCTAGCCTTATTTCTGTTCTCACCTCAGCATCATTTGTTGGTGGGGTGGGTGATGGAAAACATTTTCCCAAATCACTTGTCATCATCACATCCAGCTCTGTGAATGACGAGCTAGCTAGGCAGGGATCTAATTTTTCCCTGTTTTCTACAGCAACGATTAGGAATCTAACATTTAATTTAGAAACATGAAATTAATCCACCAGCCATCCTGCTCCCATCCAGCACACGGAGCC